ACCTGCCCCCCGAGTGGCACCGGAACAACTCGGATCTGTACCACAAGGCCTTCGCTGGCTGCGAGCAGGCCGAGCAATGCCGGGCCGAGGCCAAGTTGCTGGCTGAACATGCTGCTGTCACCGCCCAGCGTGCCCAGCAGCATTCCACAGCCACCCTGGGCCAGCGCCTGCAGGACATACGCTTCTGGAAGGTCGAGCTCCAGAAGGAGATTGAGGACCTTGATGCTGAGACCAGCCTGCTGGCAGCCCAGAAGCTGCGGCTGGGAAAGGGGCTCCGTTGCCAGCCCTATGCCATTGCCACCGATAACCTGCAGTGTCGGGAGAGGAGGCAACCCCCAGACCTGGTCAGTGATGAGGTGGAGAGAGAGTTGCTGAAGGTGAGCAGGATGTTAGGGTTCTAAGGGTCGCTGGCAGCCACTCTTGGTGCTGCTCTGGTCTCTAAAATGATGAACAGCTGGGTCAGTAGGTGGTAACCGCAGCTCATGAAGGCAACTTCTAGCAATATACTGTAATACAGCCTAGTGCCCCTTCCTAGCAGCCTGGACTCTGTCACTCCAAAGTTTAGGAAGGATTACTTAAAATCCTTCCTCTCTTTAAAAAGTGTTTAAAATCACATGAGTATGACTAGAGGAGATCAGATCCCCTCTCTCAGACCAGATCCAAAGAAAATCAAACCTGAGATTTCTTGCATTAAGATGGGCATCCTATTCTGGCATTAAACATCTTCCAGCCTCCAGTTAGATGAAAATGCCCTCATCTGTGCAGGTTACACTTTGAAAACGCAGTACTCCATAAGCAGCCTATTCAAGACCAGTGAAATGCTGCTTGTTTGTTTCCATGTTCAAGCTGTTCAGATCTGGCAGTCTCCACCGTTCCCTTTGACTACTGAGTCTGACGCTGTAGTCTTGCCAAGATTGGTGGCGAGGTGGTGATCCAACACTGTACTACAGTGCCTCAGCACCAACCATCATTTTAAACATCCTGCAGGGTGGCACAATGTACAACGTAGTCGTGTGACACCTGCATGAGATGACAGCTCCGGGCAAGCGGGGGGGCACAGGCAGATGGCATTTCTGACAGTTCGACTTCAGCAAACCCGAGACTCTCCTGAAATTTGCTGGATCCTTTTCCCCCCAGAGAGGACTCTTTACTCCAGCTGACACTTTGTTACCTGCCACTGAGATCCAACGCTGCACGTAGGTTGCCTTCAAAGCTGGTGTAATTACTGCAAATGCATGTGTTACAGAGAACAGATTCTGGGTAATTTTTCATTCTGGAATGATACATATTCCAATGTCTCACAAATAAATTGATGATTATTTGCCTGCAGCCTCCAATATACTGTGAAAGTTGATTCATGATGAGTTACTGATTAAACCAGATGATTAATTTGTTGTTAGAAAATATCGAATAGACTTACACAGTTGATGGTGTGATAGTATTTAGCAATATTTTTAATAGGAATTGTGTACAACTGCTGAATTGTAATCAATATTTAAGAGGTTGTTCCAGTAAAAAAATATAAACATGTAAAGGGCATTTCAGTATGTGAATTGTTATAATATTCAGATTACAGAAAAAAAATTGTTTTCATCAGCTGCTCATGTTTTAGAGAAGTCTGTGAAATATAAGATTTACACCAAAAAAATCATTTGCTGGCAGGATTTCTCCCCTGTATTTCTTTCCTCCTGATCTCAGAGGATACTTTGTTCGTTGCTCCAAAGTCCATCTGCTGCTGCTGAATTCTTCACCCGAAATTGTGGTTGTCTACTTGTGACGACAGACCGTCCACCGCCAAGCAGGATGTCACCAAAAAAGAATGATGTGAGTTCAGACGAGGCGTGTGTACCAGCAGCAGATGGACTCTGGAGAAATGAAGGTTTTGTTGCCATGCCGATGGCCTTTGCAGTGCAGAAGGAAAAGTACGTAATATCTGAGGAAATCCTTCCTGTTTTCCCAGAGAAATAGGTTTTATGGCAGGAATGCTGGCAAATAGATGTTAATGTGTGCCCTCTGTGGCTTTGCCAGCTCTTTAGGCTGCAGCTATGCTCTACACCTCTTTCACTGCACGAAATCAGATGGTACCTTGTATTCTTTACTCCCTCCAAAACTGACTAATAATTCTTGACACTTAGAGCTGCTCTTCCCTGAATTCAGACTCTTCACTGTGCAGATTTCCAAGTTAATGGCCCAGTTGACTGGTAGCTCTATGTTAAAACGTTTCCTTTTTTGCAGCAGTGATGCACGTTTTTTCACTAAAGTACTGACAATACTTTTTCTGAATGTTGCTTGCTTGTCCAGTCCCTTTCTCATCTTAACTCTCTTAAGAAATGGTAATGGAAGGGAGATCAGGAGTGATTTCTTCTCTTCTCATGCAGAAACGGAGAAAAAGAAGAAATAGTTTCCACAAATCAGCTGTGTGAGGAAACACACATTCTTTTCCTTGCAGTTTTAATTGCACAGTTAATTGCTATTCTAGGGCGTTTTCCTCCCTTTTAAGTTCTCCCTCTCCAAGCAGCAGCCCAGGCTTGTGTTGGCATCATCCTCCGGTATCTTTGCCGTGTTCCTGCCAGCTCCCCATGGACAGGAGCATCGGGAGTCTGCAACTGGGGGAAGAGCATGTCCGGACAAAGGGCTGCCTTTCACATCCTCATGGAAAAGCTTTTCACAGGACGTAGGTTTTTGTCCCTGCTTTCAGCTTTCTGCAGCCATGAAGAACATTTCCCAGTTCCCAGAGCGTCCTGCCGAGACAACCGCCTTCAGCAGCCCCTTGGCAGATGGCATTTAAAGACCCAACATCAAATACAAGCAGTTTGGAATTTCTGCATGGAATTGCACTTTCATTACCTATTCAGTAAGAATCACTTCGGATGACTCACAAAGAAAACAGAAATATCTCTGATGAAGATTTTATGAACCAGATAAGATTTGAGGTTTTCCTGGTTTTTGGCACACCATCTCTTTCTTTTAAGGAGTTTTGGTTCCAACTCATCTTTCCTGTTTGCTTTGTATTTAGATCAGATCACCTATTGTGATTCACACCACCACTAAATAGCCACTGCTGGAATGAGGGATGAGGGTATTTAAGTGGAAGCTTCTCACTTGCATAGTAAAATCGGCAAGATCCTTGACTCCACTTATCAGCATATTAATCTTTTCTTAAGGCAGTTCTGGTTAAGAAAAAGAAGCTGAAGGACACAATTGTTTTTCCAATAGGGAGGCATCTTTGATGACTAAAAAGAAGATAAAATCTCTCAAGTAGAATAATTTTATTTCTCTGTGCTGCTGCATCGGAAATAGCTGAATTCGGAAAAAGCAGTACCTGCGTCTGTTTTGTATGAGGTTTTTCACTTTCATAACCCATATGACATCTCCTCTGAATCCCCTTTGCATCAGTTTCGTGGCAGTTTGGTGTGTTTATGTGCACGCATTTAATATTGAAAATGTAAGCCCTAGCAAAAGACTTGCCACATGGTGGTATACTGTCAATAAATCATGTTTCAGCTGCATATCTTCTGCATTTCAAGGTTATTTCCACATGTCCAGTGCCCAGACTCATCAGCTGAGTGCCAGATATGACTGTGCAATATGTGGATGCACTTACATTTGTGTCATTTTTTACCCCAGACTTCTGTGTTTGCTTCAACGATGAAGTCAGCCCCAGCTATTCCCTGGTGCTGCAGGCAAAGGAACTAGCCAAGATCCTGTCGACTGTGTAAAATTAAAGTTTGAAAAAGTGGAGAAAGGATACTTACGTATGTATTCCTGCTAACTGCAATAACGGGGTGAGGAAAACAATGGAATACCATTTCCAAACACTCTGACCTGTAGCTTTGCCAAGTGAACCGGTGCACAAGAGGACAGTCCTGCACACAGACAACTTGCTTAGGAGGGCAGTGCTGATTTTCAACATCTGCAGATCGAGGGCTTTGAAATGACTCTGGGAGACCAGCAGGAAAAAGGCCAGTGGCAGAGCTGAGACTGTGAAGATTGCCACCTGCCTTCGCTCCCAGCTGCAGTGAATAATGGTCTTCTTGTTACATGCTGCTTGAGGGTCTGCATCGAGCAAGATCTGTAAGCTAGCAGGCTTTTATTTGCTGAGCTGATGTGTGGGACATCTGGTGTCGTGTAGTTGCTGAGGGATGGATGGATGGATGGATGGATGGATGGATGGATGGATGGATGGATGGATGGATGGATGGATGGATGCAGCTGGATTTGTAACCCAGGGCGACTGCACAGCCCTTCTCACGGGGTTCTCCCAGTCCCTCTTGGCTGCTCTCTCACTGGGTCACTCTGGCCCTGGGTGCTGTATTTAGTCGTTGCTGACATCTGCAAGTCACCGATGTAAAAAGGCAGGCTGCAAAAAAAAAAAAAAGAATTTGTAAATTCATGGAAGGCACGAACATCTGCTCTTAAACATTTTCTTTGCACCATTAATTAGACACTTACAAAGTCATGAACTGGGATGGTTTTATCACTAGATTTGAGGAAAATTCAACTTTTGCATCATAAACATTAAATAGTGTAATAAAATAAATGTCATGCTAAACTATAAAACGTTCTCTCCCTGTTAATTGACAACCATTTATAATAACAGAGATTTATTATTAGTATTAACCATAGAGAAGACAGCTGAAGAGAAGCCAAAATGACTGCACATTTGACAGTATTTCATTTTAATAAACAGCACATGAAGATATAGATGGGAAAAATAAGGAGGAAAAAAAGACTTTTCCTCCACTGAGTCCTATGATGAACTGAGGAAACACAAATCCGAGTTAACGTCCTCTGAACCAGAGATGCTGCCAGCTGCTAAAACTCTTGCCCATTTTTCCTCTCGATGCAAACTGGGCCTTTCAATGGGTTGCCAGCACAGTTCTGTGCACACAGGACAGAAAGGTCATCTCTCTCCCCAGATTTTAATGTAGGGTCACCCACGTTATTACGGCTGAAATCACAAAGCCTGGGAGAACCGTGCTCCCGGCTGCAGCTCGCTCTTCTAAATGTCATATTTGAATGCATATCTTGACAGGGAACCCGGTTTTAAGTTTTATTTTAGGTCATTCGGCAAGGGAATTCTTTATTTTTGCATTATTTCTTTCCATGTGAGAGACCTTAATTGCTAAAGGAAGGCTTTCCTCATTTAAGATTATGTGCATTACTCACAGGAAACTGGTCGTCTCTGTTTACACGGAGGCTGACTACCAACACAAAATAGTGTCAATTATTATAAACGTAGTTTCAAGTGCTGGATCTTTATAACCCTTTAAAATCCTTTTGAATGTTCATTTTGACAACTCAGCCATTCTAATGCTTTTTCCCCGAAGAAAGTGAGTTTTAGTGTTCTCATAGTTTGTAAAATGATAACTTCAGCTAGGTATTTATTTTAATGTGCTCTTTTAAACCCTTAAAAATAATGGGTTTTTTTTCCAATCATGATTATAGAATATAATCTGTAATATTTAGAATAAAATGATCTTTTTTATGGTCCCTGTTGGTTTCTTATGATAGAAAAACTGACACTGCAGGGACATAGACATTTATTTGTCAAAACCAGTACAAGGATCCGCGAGTGCCAGCAGCGTTCTGGGAATAAAGTTTATTAATAAGTATATATTCCCTTAGCTGGCGTTGGATGACTTTCACTGATGTAAACCAGCAAAATTAATTACGAGGTTTTCATATAGAAAAGCTCTTTTTAATATCTGAGCCTCAAATATTAAATTCCTTTAAATAATAAAAAAAGAAAATGCTTGCTGGACTGGCTTTCATGTCATAATGTGTAATCACCAGGTCAGTACAGCCACTTCACAGGGCTTTGGTAGTTAATCCCTAGAGCAGCATTATTGCAGTCAATAATGAGCAGCAGGTACTTTTTGTTCAATGAGATTATTAGAAATTACTGTATTTTTTTTT